AGAGAGAGAGAGAGAGAGAGAGAGAGAGAGAGAGAGAGAGAGGAGAGAGAGAAACATGAAAGGGGAGAACGGACATTTCTCAATTCAAGTTTTTCTTGGGCAGACCCTTTTGGGGCCACATGTTAGCAACATTTGGAACTGGAACCAGTATTGGGGGGGGGGGACAGTTCCAAATTTGGTCTCTCATGAGTCAACTCCTTGCATCCCTTCATTTACACATATCTGACATAATTCTTCAGTTCTGTCTCTCTGCTGCCCTTATATTTATTTTCCTGCTTCTCTCTCTCTCTTTTCCATTTATACTCTTCCTTCTATTTCCCTTTCCTTCCCAACTGCCCACACTTTGAGGTAACGTGTGTGTGTGTGTACACACAGACATGCTTACAGATAATCCTCGACTTACAACCATTTGTTTAGTGACTAATGTTACAACGGCACTGAAAAAAATGAGTTATGACTATTTTTCTACACATACGACAGCAGCACCCACATGGTCATATAATCAAAATTTGGGTGCTTGGCAACTGGCATATGTTTATGACGGTCGCAGTGTCCCTGGATCAACCCTAACCCTTCTGAGACCTTCTGACAAGCAGTCAATAGAGAAGCTAGAGTTACTTAATAACCATGTTACTAAGAACTGCTTTGATGCACTTAACTGTGGTAAGAAAGGACATAAAAATGGGGCACAACTCCATAACAACTTTCTTATTTTGCAACAAATGTTGGATTCAATTGTGGCCGTAAGTCGGGGATATCTGTATATCAATTAGAGGAGATGACCAGATACATCCTTTACCTTAAACCAACTGTGTTAAATGCAGTTCAACAACTATTGAACAACTCTACACTAAATGAAAGGTTGTGGCCACAACCTAACTTGATGCCATTTGTTGGTGTAACTGGAATGACTGTGGCTTGTATTTTTTGCCTTTCCAAAGAGTTACATGCGCTTTGATAAAAGTTTTGCTCATAAAGGAAAACTTACATTGTCTTGCAGTAATTGAATGTCATTCAGTTGGTATCTGCTGACTGCCTCAATTTCCAATATTTCATTTATTTTTTTTCTCTTTTAGATAACTCAGAGTTGGGAGGCATTAATTGAACCCAGATTAATAATTGACTCTCCAAGTAATGAATCTGACCCCAAAAAGGAATCCCTTCAGACATGAACTTGCCTGGCCCTCAGCTGTGAATATAGTATGCCTGAACTGTGTGTAAATGAATTTTGAAGGATTTTTTTTTTCAGTTTCTGTAGACGGCATATACATATGCTTTTTCTAAATAAAAAAATTATAACATGAATAATATTGAGGGGATATATGTCATTTATTAATGTCTGGCATGATGTCTCAGAAATTAATTTATGCAATTAAGAACATTAATGAATGCTTGGAAAATACAGAGACCAGCTAATTAAACTTAAAGCCCTTCTGTGTTTTCCTCTTTTAAGCATATAGGTATGCACATTTTTTGACCAATAAGTAGTTGTGTAGGCCCTCCCCTTCATTTTTTAATTAAATGGAAAATTAAGTATTTCCCATTTGTATTATGTTTTATATCCATAGTCATAATATTAATAGCTTAGTGTAAACTGGTTGATCAAGAATATTCATTAGTAATCTCTGAGTATTGAGGGGCTGGGTGATTATCTTCACTAAAATGAAATTTATTTTTAGATATTCATTGTATATCTTTTTTCATGTTTTGTTTTATTTATATTTCATTTCCATCAAACAGTGTGTGATCTGGATACAGTTATTTAAACATAATCCACATATTTGTTGTTACATTTATCACAATATTAATAATATAACTATATAGTAATATAATTACAATAATACATAACATCATCTTCAAATTCTCTCCACATTGACATTTCTTCTTTTTATATCTCCTCTTTTCTAACTTGTTTCTATTGTCTAACCATTGATAAAATACATCCCACGTCAAAAAAATATTCAGTTTCTTCTTTATCCCCTTAATAGTGTTTGTCTGTCCATTTCTGCGCATTCTAGAATTTTCTTAATTACATTCTCGTGATATTCATTGTATATCTTATTTAAACTTTTGGGTTGCTTTTACACCACCATAGTTACATTTAGTATAGCAAATGCAGACCCATAATTAATTGAAACCTGTTAGACACCTGTTCACTATTGTCAGTTCCCTGAATTTTAGTATTCACATTCCTACTTGTATTAGGAATGAAGCCAATTTCAGCCTATTTTCTACTCTTGTGAACCTGCTAGCTATCAACATTGGGGGGGTGGTAGAAAGTTGACTTTCCTCCAAGACACAGGGTGAGGCTGGAGCCCTGTGGCTGTGTTTTTTTTTTAATGTAGTGGGGAGTGTTGGTGTAAAGTATTGGGAGTTGCTCCGATATGAAATGAGTCAGACAAATTGCTATTTGGATAAGAAAGCAATGTGTCATAACTTAGTTACTTATCCTGAGAGCTCAGTCTCCCTTTCCTTTAAAAAGAAAACCCGCATCAATGTGCTTCTGTGTTCAAATGGAGATCTAAAAGGAAGCAATCTTCATGCTCTAGACTTTTTTTAAAAAAACCAACAGGACTGAGAAACAAGATATTCCTAAACTATATTATTTAAAGCAATGGTTCCCAACCTTATCTATGCCACACACTTAGGAAATGTTTAACTGTTGGCACTCTCCACCAAAAGTTATTATAAAGGGACAGAAGCCACTATTTGTCACAAACCCTGAAATTCCAACTCGCACACCCCTAGGGGTGCAGGCACCCCAGTTTGGCAACCCCTGATTTAGACAATGAAGAAACATGTTCATTGCTTTAGCTGGGGGGTCCATTTCAGATATTTTATATCAGGTACATTATATAGATTAGGCATTCCCAGAGTGGTGGCACTGGCCGCTATGGGCAGTGGAAACATTATTTATTTTCATCCCGTCTTTATTATTTTTATAAATAATTCAAAGTAATGAGTCCTTGGTGCTCTCTGAGCTTAATTGGATTTTTGCAGATGCTTCATTACCACATGTGCCCTGCCCCCCGCGCATGTGCGGCAGAGATCTGAAAATCAACTGACTGGCGGGAGTCGTGCATGCATGTGTGGTGGAGCTGAACTGGGGCAACGGCTCGTGTGCCTGCAGAAAGAGCTTTGCGTGCCAGCTGTGGCACACGTGCCATAGGTTTGCCATCATGATACTAGAGCATAAGTAACTGAGCAAAGCCTTAAGATCCAGAAACAGACACAGTTGGCCCTGACTGCCACCTGCTCCTCAGGTAGGAATTATGAGCCAGAAGGGGTCTCAGATTGTGAACTGGGTCTGTCAGGGGCAGTGCCAGCTATACAGTACCAAGAAATAAAAGTCCCAGATCTGAAAGGCCCTAAAACTCAAAGTCACTAGTCTTGCCAGGTTTCAGCTGAAGCCTGTTATTCCCCATCGAGACCCTTATACCTTCCAAGCAACAAGAGAGGACATCCACAGCACTGCTTAATTTGCCAAGCCTGAAAAAATACAACTGTCTATCATTAGTCTACTAATGGTGCTAGATGGTCTCCCCCAGTGGTTTCATGTAGATATTAAATAGCAGTAGGAGAACACAAACCCTGTGGCATCCCAGGTAGTAAAGTAGGAGCCGAAGGCAGGATCTCCTGATCAACATCAACTAGTATCAGATCAAAAGAACCAGCACAATATTGTGCCACCTACTTCCAATCCTGGGAGCTGATCCAGAAGATGATGTCAAAAAGTGCTGAGAGGTAAGGTAGAGCTGGAATACAGGCACTATCCTCAACCTGCTCCTGTCAAAGATCACCCAAACACGTAACCAATGCCATTTCCGTGTACCACCAAGCTTGAAATTTTAGGCCTGGATAACCTTGAACTACACCGTCTACATTCCGACCTGAGCTTAGTGCACAAGATAATCTGCCATAACGTTCTACCTGTTAATGACTACGTTTACTTCAACTGCAATGCAAACTAAATGTAATCCGTTCTAATCTTGATTGCAGGAAAAACGATTTCAACAATAGTGTAGTAAATGTGTGGAACACCTTTCCTGATCCTGTTGTTAGTTCCTCTAACCTTTTACCTTAAGCTGTCTACCGTGGACCTTACGAGTTTCTTAAAAGGTCCCTAAGGGGGCATGCATAAGCGCACCAGTGGGCCTACCATCTCTGTCCTACCTCCCATTTATATGTACTCTTTATGTGTTTATAGCTATGTTTTGCTTATTTATATCTATTTATTTGTGCCATTTTTTCATGTGTTTTCATACTTGTTTCCTTGTACTTGTTGACAAATAAATAAAATAAAAATAAAAATTCCATCCCATAGAACGATTGAATGCACAAATAAATAAATCCATCCTGACTGAATGGGAGCCAGATAATCTGCTTTATATCGGTTCCACCACAAAACCGCGGAGGACAAAATCGCGCTCGACGAAAGCGCGCATTTGACGTCATCACAGCGCGATGAAAAAAATTGAAATAAAATTAAAATTAAAGCAAGCCGATTCACATAAAGGTAAGGGTTAGGGTTAGGTTTAGAGCGTTAGGGT